CCAGGCTTCATTTTGCTACAATTTAAGTAATGTGCTTTTTTTCTTAAAATTGGAACTTTTCCTCAACATGAATCATACAATTAAATTGAAGTATTTTATTGGCAGTCATGCTGCTTAGCCATCCAGAGTACATAAGAAATTGAACTCTGGCTTCTGCCAATAATATTCTACCTTCTGTGCCATAGAGTGACAGGAGTTTGGAACTGTTTATTCACATAATTTCAGTCTTGGCTGCACCGGAGGTGTTGAGCTCAGGTCAGGCATTTTCCCCACAGGACAGAGATTGCGAGTTCCACATTTCAACAATTTAATAAAATTGGTCTGAATTCACCAGCAAATTTAAGCCTTCACATGACTGCAAATTATCTTGGTTTCATGAAGCAGAAATCTTAAAATCCAACCATCAAAACATTGCCAAAATATTTATTGTACAATAATTTTTTTTTGCAATCTTAGTACTGTGAATAGAATCTTGTAACAGTAACTTGCAAATTTGTATAGGGCCTTTGATGCAGGGTAGCGTCTTGGACAACAGCGAAGAACTTGGTGCTGAGCTGGAGAGGGGGCTATGGTCAACCTTAAGTATGGGTTGGTGCAGAGTATTGCTTGACCTTCCCTACCACAATATACCTCAGTCCAAACCTCTGATGGGCACCACTGCTGCACCAAAGTGGGAATTTTAATTTCACATACCTGAAAATCTTGCCACCTAAGTCAAACTTAGTCGAAAACTAATGTAAATGAGAAAATGAAGCAAACCACTTATTGCCAAAAAGCAAACTATTAGCATCAATGCTTCTTCTAATGGTTTCTTGGTGTTAACTTTTATCATGGCTACAAAGAGTATAAATGTGAATAATTCTTGTATTTGATAGCATCTTTCATGTCAGAATTTATCGAAGTGGTTCACAGCATTTTTATTGTAAAGTTTAGTAATTGTATTTTTTAAGAGATGACGAGCATACAAAGTTTTATTTGGGTAAGGATGCAGGTGCCTGCGGAGGCTGACGAGCAGGGCATGTGGGAGCGAGATAAGGACATAAGTGGGCTTTGGGCCAAAGAAGCCAAAAAGCAATTTTAGTCAGGATTCAAATGGGAGGCATGGGACTGAACCAAACACCAAGGCTGTGAATTGGTTCAGTGAATTGAGAGAGAGGCTGGAAAGGTTAAGCAAGTCAGAGCCAGAAACAAAGGAGACATTGGCAGGAGCCAACAATGGCTTCTGTCTACTCCATGTTTCGCTTAAGGTTTAAGCTCAACCAGGTCTCGATATCCAGCAGGCAAGAGCCACAGTGGACCTAGAATCAAGGGTAGAGAAGTAGTACAGCAGACACCTGATAACTTGTCACTCAAAGGGAAAAGGGCTCAATGACAAGTTATCCAGAGCAGTGAGGTAGGCACATGTATATATAAATAAATGTGTCTATGCTATTGAAAGCATGATGACTGAAGTGGTAGTGACAATTTAAGTCAGGGTTGAGTTATCAGGAGTTTACTGTACTTTATTTTCTCAAGCTACTTTTATTGTTCATTCATGTACATTGATTTTCAGAAGAAAAAGCAAATTAATTGGTCATGGACTTTCCATTTTTTTTATTAGTCACTTATATTTTTCCAACCCCAAAACAATACACACAGAATTCCTAAAATATTCCCCCAAAGAGTTTACAACATTTTCTTCCCATTCACCTCAATCAATGGGCTTCTTTATTCTGTACAATATCTCAAAATAGGTTTGTAATAATAGTTTCATTTCCCATTGATATAAGTTTCCTTAAAATGTTCTGAAGATATGAAACAAAGTATGACAAATGAATGTTTATGAAATGGAAGAAAACAATGGAAAAAATGTCACACAACATAGAGTTTTAATTCCCCATCTCTTTCACAGTACAATGATGCACTGCAACAAAAAGTTCAATGCAGTTTTTCACTAAACTAAAATGGAATGATGCTTCATGAAAAACTACATTAATCGTTCCCTATTGTCAAAGCTGATTCTAAAGTATTTGGTAGTGGAATTTAGCAGAAAGGAGTTATTTACATAGGATTTTAATTCATGCAGCCTTAGCTCAGAGCTATAACCATTTTTCCCCAAAGGTGCAGATTAGCACCAGATTAATTCACACAAGACCCTGAAATTTAAAGACTCTTGCCTCCACTTTTCGCTCTCAGTCACAATAAAGCAATGCAATGTTTCACATCATCAATGCAGTCTTTCATCTTGAATCCAAATTTCCCTTTAGAAGCCTACTCATTTTAATGTGTTGCACCAATGAAAGTGAATGACAGCCTAAAGGTGATTAATAAACTCAATTCCCATTTGCTGTCCCTTGAAATGTCATTACTTGTGAATTGGACAAGATCTTAAAAAAAATGCTAGGCAGGGGCTGTGAGCAAAATGCGAGTATTCACTGCCAAGTGATCTTTTAAATAGAAGAAACTTCTGAATGAAAATAACTTTTTGGTGTCAAAATATCCAGATAAAACTGATCTGGCAGCGATTCAGGAGCAACAAATCGATTATACTCCATTATATCGCGATCCAGTTCAGAATTTCTGTACATGTGCCCAATTTACTGTTTAAAAAAAGGGCAACCTCACCAAAACACTGTACCAAAAAATACAATAAGATTGATAACCAATTAAAATGTAAATAAAACCAATAAGAATCAAAACTCAAATGAATGAAATATTAGATTTTCTCCTCATGACTTGGTGAAAGAATGGAGGCAGGAAGGGTGCAGAGTTTTGGAACTGTGTGATAGGAACTGCAAGTTTAAATAGTGAGCCCATATAGCATAGAAAACGTGCAAGTTCAGAAAAGGCTGTCTTACAGCTCTTGGCACAAAGAGAGAAGGCATTAAAAATATGAACTGAGGAAGTATAAACAGGCCAACACAGAATCTGAAAACAAGCTGATCCAGTTTTTCAAAGTTATTGCACAGCACATGAAAATAATTTGATCAGTAGTCAAAATGTCTGCTTCGTTTCTCTCCCACAATTTTGCCCTGTTGCTCCCCAAGTCCTCAATCCCATCAAAAGAAAAGCACTTTCACCTTCTGCAGACCCGAACGTAAACCATTAAAATCATTCACATTGCCTCCCTTCATATATTAGACATTATTTCTCTGCAATACATTTATACCCATGTCTCTATACAACAGAATGGGAGTGCTCGGATCCCTATGTGAATTAACAAATATTTACAAATAGCCATTAGTCTGCAATTCAAATAAATTAAAAACCAAAATTAGTGGGGAAACGTTGCCCATTAAAAACCATAATGAGAATTTCATATGCATCGGTTTATTTTGATTTCCTTCTAATATGCATCAAAGACGATACACTTTTTGCTGGTTTAGTCACAGGACACGGGTAGTTAATTAGTTTATAGTTTTCAAAACCAAATCCACACATTTAATTTCTTCATTTTGGAAAAGATATTGTTGGTAGGAAATAATTGTGTAAATACCCACCCCAACCCCACCAAATTTGGATCAATGCAAGACTGATTTGGTAATAAGCAATAGAGAACATGGAGGTCCCAGTTTTAATCCTGTGTCTGTTTATTCAGTCCATTTCTATCATTGTGCTACAACTCCCTTAGCTACATTCAGGCTGGGGATTTTTTTTAAAAAGCCACCAATCTTCTGACTGCCTCCAGCATCTCTTGCTGCCAACAAGTCTTTTATGGGTAAATAGCCTAACCAAACACACACAATAACAGCTCACAATTAATGGGCATTTAATGAATTATATCACAGGATATAGGGATGGGGGGGGGGGGGGGGGGAGAGAGAGAGAAATGTCATCGCCCAAGAGAGGACAGGTGTGGGAAAGATAATGGGAAATTTTAAAATATTTTAATCTGGCAGCTCTTTGGTTCCATTGCTTCAGGAAAGAGCTGTGCATTATTTTTTTAAAAAACTTTTATTTTGGGAGAAACCGCCATCAGTCAACCATTACTGTTTTGCATATTCTAGCAATCTACAGATCATTATTAACGGGGTTGTAGGACTGAAGAAGCGAATTGATAATATAAATTTTGCTAATCTTTTAATTGAGCTATAGTTGAATCAAGAGTGACAAAAAGTTGATGACTACTATCTGTAGTCATAATTCTTACTCTTTCCACACTCGAGCTTCTCATTAATCCACATAATAGTTGCGAGTTCCCACAATGTTACCAATTGAAAAATATTCACTTCACTCTAGCTTAGTAGTAATAGAACACAAAAAACTGCACAAAAGTTAAAAGCAAGAAGGTCTGACAATTAATTACTGCATTCCTTGTCTGGATTCTTACAACTAGCCAAGTAGTAACCACTGTACTAGTTGAATCAAAAGTTAAGTGAGAGCAATTAAACACAAAGCTGCCCTCTGAAATTAAAAAAAGCTAGACTTTAAAGATGCTCTGGATGATTATGCATACATACAGTCATAGCACCCCAGCAGTACAATAACATTTTTGAAGAGAGAAAAATTTCAGTATATATGACTATCAGGGTGCAATTAACCCACTTAAAGCAGGTAATGGACAGATTAACAGGTACCCCCTTTCTTAACTCAAGTTTTAACCAGCTACTGCATATCCAAATGAATAGTTGACCTACTCGGGACATATTTCACAAATATGATGCACTTAATCATTCTTCTAAACTTCACTGCCTAAATGCTTCTTGCTCAACATATTGCTTATTTGTTGCACTTTTGTTTTAATGGCTTTATGATCAATCAATTTTGAAGAAACTGAGTTTTTTTCCTCCAGGTAAATGCGGCAAAGAAATCCAATTTAAAAGACTTCTCACAATGAGGTTAAATTTACAGTACAGATGTACATATAGCTAGCAAAAGGTCAAGTATTTAATGCTCATTTTTATAAATACAAATTTAAACATCTAAATGACAGGAAAATCAATTACATTTGAATTATTTGAGTAGGTCTCTCAAACCAAAATTAAACTTACCCAACTGGGTTACTCTTCCTAAATGTTTCAGAATATTTTAAATGTACAAAATTGAACAGGCACAGTTAACCAGTACACTATTAACGTTGACTCACGTAGTTCACCATCACCAGTTCAAACAAAAGACAGTTAAGGTGAATGGAGCAATCCATCAATAACTCTCTTGCCAGCCCAATGGATTCATAAATCAAAAGCTTTGCATTCTACAGGAAAATGTACAGCAAATGAACACAATTTTCAGTAGTTTTTAAGAAAGCTTTTTTTTTTAAATTCAATCTCATAAATTTCTGTTATTCTTGAGAATGGACAGTCTAAACAGTCACTTTTCCTCAGCAAATCAATTGTAAGTTTGTTGGCTGACTCCAAAGTCCAAAACCCACATTAAACCAATATGAGTGATTTTATGCACTAAAAGCATTTTAGAATCCTGAAATGTACTTTCACTACAATGAATAAAACTGGAAATCCTCTCTTCTATTACGTCCTTGCTTGTTACTACATTCACCTGTAACTGGCTTGTTTTAAGATTTGTTTCTTAGATCTTGCAACACACCACAACCCATGCACACTAGAGAAATTCAGAACATAACTGACAAGGGTGCATCTGACCTCCCCTTCAAGAGACGAAAACCACTTGTAGTTTTACTTGTCACAAATAAACCTTAATTTCCACTCCACACATTTTACTGAATCAATACTCCACTTTACAGAAGCAGGCATTGAAAGTATTTTTTTGCTTTAAAAATCAAATGATTACACAATCAATTGCTCAATTAGATTGCAGACTTAAAAATGTTCACTGTGTTGTAACTATTTTCTTGTTGTAATATTTTCCTATAATGTTCGTCTCCCATCCCTAACAGTTGATATTCTTAAAGGGCAAGTGCCTAGGCCTTCCCCATCATCAAAGCGCACTGTAATAGTTTAAAAAAATAACATTCTAATGTTATAAGCCACTTTAAACTTCACACCAAAAGGCAGGTCATTGTTGACTGTTTATTAACCATTTTGCATTACTACTCAAGTTTTAGTGAGGGTAAATATATTTAAATTGCAGTATCCCTTTTCCTTCATCCATTTATAGAACCATTTTAAAATCTCTTAACAAATTGTTCAAAATTTCTGTAGTTATTTAATCCCAATTATTAAGACATTTAGAATTATTGCATTGATTTACCAACAGTACACCAAGAACAGTACTACAATTTTAAGTTCATGAAACTGAACAAATTACCATTTAAAAAAAGGAGATTTGAAAGATTCAAGGAGTTTTAATATTTGCTGGAAACTAACAATTAGTTAGTTGCTCTGATAGAATACTAATTGTCCAGCTCAAAAATGATCTTCAGCCAAACTTAAAGCAACTGCAAAAATCACCACTGCATAATTTTATAACTGTACAAATGCATATAATATACAAAGAAAGTTGCCAGAAAATAGATCCCATCAATTGACCGTTAACATATTAGACTTTAAGTAGGCTCAAGTGTTTCAAAGCTAACTTACTTGTTTCAGAAGGTTTGCCAATCTTGAATACAGAAAAGAACAGTTCTTATAACCCTTCCCAATCTAGAAAGCGTTCATACAACCCTTTCCAATCTAGAAAAGTGAACATGTGCTAATTAAACCAATGCAATTTAATCAAATTACCAGCTTCAGTTTCTGTGGGCTCCCCCAAAAAGATTTTGTGACCAAAACCTACCCATTTTATATTTTGAACATCAAGGCAGAAATCTGTATCAGGGAATATCCTTTACACATGCAAGATTCTTTGCCTGATCCTAATTCATACCGCCAGACATTTAGCGCTCATTAGATATACAGCAAAATGAACCCACAGGCACTGTTCTTCAGACTGGGCAAGCATTACCATTCCTTCCATATCAGAGATTTCAAAACCAAAAATGGTTACTGTGATCCACCATTCAAAAGTAATTTCTATAATTTATAGGCAATAGCTTGACTGGGTAAAATGCCTTTAAAGATTGAAGGATATTTTATTACAAGTAATTCTGTGATACATAATGAAAATTTTAAGTGAAGAACTGTCTACCACCAAGAACAAAGCGCTCTCAGATCCATAAACCCAAATAGTTGGTAGAAGAAAAAACAATGGTTTCTTGGTGTGCTGTGAACGTCTTGCAAATCTGCAGTGCAAAGACTGGCTCCTGTGAAGCATAAACTGGATCAGGTCTCATTGTGTATTTATTTCTATTTCCACAACAAAATCAATAGAGAGAAATAGTGTGTTTTAGTGCATGCCATGAGCAGACACTCCAGTGATGGACACGATGCTGATAGAGACAAATGGATATGTTTTCAAAAGTGATCATTAGCATTTGTAGGCATCTGAATCTTCAAGTTTGTTCATTTGATTTGCATCCCACCTTGAAAGCAGTTACACTTCAGGTGATGTCGTGCAAGAGGGCACTCTAGGGACACGAACTTCCTAGAAATTCGCCAACATCCATTGGTGGGAAAATGAAGAGGTCATCAGCCAGAGAATCACTGCCATGATGGAGGGGGGAAGTTATTTACTTCTGCTAAATCTTGCACTGGTGATCCATTCTGGTTATATGTGATCTTGATCCTCATGCGAAGCGGTTGCTGAATACAGAAAGAAACAATTGATCACATTAAAAAGAAAAAAATCTTTTAATATGAACTCATTTATTGGTTTGAAAATTGAGACCAGTTCAGCCTGGAAACAGGACACCATTGTGATAAATATCAGATTGAAAATTTTTGCCAATTTAATTTATGCAACCAGGGTTCCAAAACTTCCAATTCTAAATATAAATTATAGCATACAGAATGATACTTTGTAAATGGACAAAGCCTAACAAATTATGTCTTAAATCTGTTTCCTCTCCCGCCACTCAATTCACAAACCCCTCCTCCAATCAGGTTTCCATGCCTCCCATAGCACAAAAACAGCTTTGGTCCAAGTGACAAATAATATTTTGTCCACCTGCTACCAGGCTCCCTCTGCCTCCTCATCCTCCTTGATCTCTCTGTTGCCTTCGATATAGTTGACCACTCTATCCTCCTGAACCACCTTCTCCTCTCACCTCAACCTTCTGTCCTTGAATGGTTCAGATCCTATCTCTCACAACGTCTCCATTTCATCTCCACCAACGGTTTCTCCTCTAGCCCCCACACCATCTCATGCGGCGTTCCTCAGGGCTGTCCTTGGTCCCCTTCTCTTCAATATCTATATGCTCCCTCTTGGTGACATCATCTGTAGACATGGGGTCAACTGCCACATGTATGTGGACGACACCCAACTCTATCTCCCTGCCTCCATCCTCGACTCAAGACCACTGTTGACCTGACAGACATCAAGTCCTGCATGAGAGTTAACTTTCTACAGTTGACCGTCAACAAGACCGAGGCCCTCCTGGGTTCCCATCAGCACCTCCACCTCAGGCGCTGACAGCATCACCAACTAAGGATACACACTCCACCTCACTGAGCCAGTCCTGAACCTTGGCATCTTGTTTGACCCTCAACTATCCTTTATATCCCACATCCGGGCCATGACCAGCTCCGCCTTCATCCGCCTTCGCGACATTGCCCGGCTCCGCCACTGTCTCATCTCACACTGCAGGCCACCAAGACCCACATACATACATTCATAACATCCAGGCATGACCATGCAAACTCACCCCTTCATCCCGCAGTCCCTGCCTTCGATCACCCTCCTTCCCCCTTTGCCCTCCATCCTCCCCGATTCTGACCCCTAGCTTCGATCCGAAACACTGATTGTTCAGTGCCTTGGGACGTTCTACCGACGTGAAAGACGCTATAAAGATGTAATTTTTTTTGTTGTAAACACCCGATCTCTATGTTATCAATAATTCTTTTAATATGTTGTATGAAAATAAAAGGATGTTAACCCAACTGGCCGGGCACATACTTCCTGAAGAGATTTAAGGTTGATGAAACCAATCAATACACTTTTGAAAGTATAGCATACCTTCTGTGGATTGAGCACTTTAATGACCTGTGTGACAACGCCCGTGTTTCGTGCTGAAATGAGGTTACCGCTTGGAGAAAGAAGTTGCAGCTGAAATGTCTGCAGGAGGAAAAAAAAATGAATAAGCTACAGAAATATCCGAGTCTGGCTTGTCGTTGTTGAAGAATCTCTTGCCAATGACAGCACAACAGGTCAGAACAAAGAGAAGCATCACATCCTTTCCTCACTATAAGCGCGTTTGCACCTTTGCAAATAGAACGGAACAGAATCTTGGCATCACCAACCCCATACTGTTTGAGAACTGGCTCTTTTTCAACACTTTCTGAAATAACATTTAACATAACTAAGCATTAGAATATTCATATACAATTCCATCCACAATAATGTAAATAAATCTATATGTTTGCAGCACAGTCCAGTGGTCATAATTGAGTCCTGTGGCTCAGTGGTTAGAGCACTCGCTTTGCAAGCGAGAGACCTGAGTTCATTTCCAGGCAGAGGGCGAAACCTTGGGCAAGTTTCCTTACGCCTAATAATAATCCCTCCAAAACTAAAAGCAATAATAAATTGGTCATTTTCAATCTACGACTGTTTGTGGGACATTGCTGTGCGCAATTGGCTGCCGCGTTTGCCCACAAATATACAGTCAATTCACTTTTCAGTGTATTCTATGAAGCGCTTTGGGACGTCCTCCCGACGTGAAAAGCGCTATATCAAATGCAAGGACTATTATTATTATTATTATTGAAAATGAATGCTTCAAAAGATCCCAATTGCAGGAACCCTCCCAAATATCGTTAAAGACTTGTCGCACTTCTCTGAACTCTCAAATACAACATCCTTTCCAACAAAAGATATCCAATTTTACATATATTTCAGTTTTGTTTTAAATTACGGTATTCAATGTGCTTTACAGTAAATGGTTTGAAGCACTTTGAGAAGTTCTCTGATGTAAAAGGCGCTATATCAAAAGCAAGATTATAAAATTCCTGGAAAATTTGGAATAAGTAAAATAATTAGCATCTCATTTTGCCATAAGAATTTGTTTTGCAAATTACAATAGTATCACATATACGATTTGTTCTTTTAACAAATACCAATCTTTTAGCACAATCATAATTTTCCTGAATGAATAAAAATATCATTTTCAACTGGCAATTCATTCTGTTGATCGATACCAGAGTTATTCTAACATCTGCGTTCCATTATTAGCATTGGTTCATCTTCACAACAAGGAAAAACAGTCTTATTGCACGCTCAGAATTAGGTGAGGTTTAAGATTGAAGGATGAGACTGGAACATGGTTGGGGGGGGGGTGGCGGGAGAGGAGAAATGAAGAGCCTGTTTTTTCTTTAAGCACAAGCTGTCTTCAAACTCCTCCAAATTTACACCACCTAAAAGTAATTTGTGGGTCACTTTAAATGAAAAATATTCCACATATGTGCCTCTGCAGTAAATAATTGTATTGTATGTGTATTACAATGTTCCAAGCCAAATTCCACTATCCTTTCTGAGCAACAATTCACAACAAAACAGTAAGTAAAACAGTTACTACACTTTCAGACTTCATATAATAAATCTGCTCTCACCTACAGAATTGCTGTTACACAAACTCCCTGCTTGTCTGCCTTCCCAACTCCTCCCTCCATAGGTTGCAGATCATCCAGAAGTCTGCAACCCATGTCCTCTCCCGCACCAAGTTCTGTGACCCTATCACCCACTTCCTCACCTGACTCCACTGGCTTCCCATCACACAGAGGATACATTTCAAGATCCTGGTCCTCACTTTCAAAGCCCTCCATGGCTTTGCTCCCCCCTATCTCTGCAACATCCTAGCCCTCTACCAACCTGCCCGCTCCCTCTGCTTCAACCCCCCCACCTCGCACAGCCAACCATTGGCGATCGGGTCTTCTGCCACTCTGCCCCCACCTTCTAGAACTCCACCCCGCAGGCCCTCTGCCTCACCCCTTCCTTTATTTCCTTCAAGACCCTCCTCTTCGACTGTGCCTTTGGTCACCCCCCCATCCCCCACATTCTCCACCCTCCCTAAACTCTAGCTCGGTTCCTTGGGACGTCCTTCAAACGGGAAAAGGTGCTATATAAATATAATTTTGTTGTTGTTGAAAAGACCATTACCCTGCAATTTCAAAAAGCAATAATAATTTTCATACTGAGCCAAATGACATTTAGCATTTTACTTGAGGGATACAATATATTCAGTGCATTAAATTACCTTTGGTACTGCAGCTTGAAATACAAAATCTGTCATATCTCCTTCCGTAGAATTTGTGGCATTTATTGTAACAATGGTTAGATTAGGATTTGTATTAGACCGTTCAAAAGTAAATTCTATTTTCAAGCCACCTTTACTGTATGCGGTCATGGGAGGAATGCCTGCAAAAGACAAAGGTTATAAATCATTGTACAAATGGTTACGTTATTTCTCCTAAGCATCTGAGGAGATTTTGTAAGCATAGCTGAGCGACTAACAATTATGCTATTTTGCAGCAACTAGTGGTATAATTTTACAAATGTTGATAGTAATAGTCTTCAATTGTGTATTATTCCCCAATTGGAATTCTTTGGGAAATTGCATGGCTCAGTTTCACACTGTGCATGGACTTTACCAATCGTACCAGAAGAACCTTCATGCTTTATTTTAACTGAAATATTTACAAATTAGTTTACTTTTGTCTACAAAAACAGTAGGACACGTCACATCTATCTGTGAAATGCTTCATGTGGTTCAATGTGATAACACAATAGAAATCCAAGTTTTTCTTTCTCTCTTATCAAATGACCACATTTTAAAGTTAAATTAATAGAATTTAAACAATTTAACCAATAAATCTTTGAACAGTAGCTTAGATTCCAGAGAGCTTTTACCTGAACCTAGGTCATTGAAGAGTGGTTGTGATGTTAAACCATCTAACAGGAATGACGGTTGTGAAGCCTGGGCATTTATTGGTGGTGTACCTCCTGCAGATGAGAAAGCTTTGCTTATTAATCCTATCCACAATATTTATTGAAGTATCAGAGTTTGGGCCTCTTGTTGAGTTTCCTCACACAGTAATTTTCTATGATTCTTTTGGAAACCCAGAGAAAGTTTGAAACAAACTGACCTGACAGATCTAAACCTCCGAGCAGATCCAGAAGCTCTCCACCAGCTGAGCTTGGTTTATTGGGTGGTGTTGTTGGAATCACTGGTGCTACATCACTACCTCCAAGCAAGTCCAACAAGTCATTAGCCTAGAGAGCAAAACATTTTATTTTTGAGGTTCTCCTCAAACTACAAGCAACATTTAAGTTAAAACTGGTTGGAAACCACTTTAAAATATTTGTTTTAACTGTTCATGTAATAGCAAATCAGTTATCCTATTGCTTATTTACAAAATTAAACTGACAAGACTGCCTGCTTCCAGAATCACCTCAGTTAAAATCCAAAATCAGTCCACAAATTAGACTTCGCTAATATTTTTGTTTATATATGTTTGTGTATATATATATTAGTATTAATACTTTTACATTTCAAATTATCATCCAGTTAAGTTATGGAAACTAGGTTATACAATTTTAAAGCTCTAATATACAAATGTAATATTTCTTGGGAGAATAAAATGGATAAGTGAGGTTAAAATCTCAATACAATTTGTGAAATCTACCAAAGGTCTAAAAGCTCTTTAGCACTTGCTTTACATTTGGGAATCTGGAATGGAAACAAACATAAGTTTAGCATGCATGCATTCCATACCTGGTTGGAAGGTGGAAGGACACTAGGCGCTAGTTTTGTCTCCAATATTATGGGCTCAGCTTCACCATTTGTCTGTGCGACTTGTGTAGGTCCATTGATAGTGGTCTTTTCCATGATAGGCATACGTTCCAGCAGTGCAGACCTATTGTTAAAATGCAACAACTGTAAAGCACCCCACACAAAAACATTGTGAATCGTACATTTGCAAAAAAATTAAAAACTACACTTACAGCAAGAACTCAATTTCTTTGCATGTGCCAGTTTATGATGGGACAGATCAATGCTAAAGAGAATTCATTTGTGTGTAGATGGATGAGAAGCTAATTAATCTTAATAAACCCAAAACATGCTTAAAAATGTTCATGGCAACATTATAAATTACATTTTTGTTACTTCAAATGGTTTGACCTTACCTCATGTGATCATATTTTTTGAAAAGTGCATTGTATTCAATAGCCCTCTGCTGAAGTTCAACATCTATGCTGCTTCCATATATGGACACTATCTTCTTGATTCGACTAAAGGAAAACAAATTGTCATTACATTTTTCCTATATATATATATATATATATATATTATATACACAGACACAAGTTTGTTTACCTAACTTTCAGATTTTTGAAGAAACCCAAATCTTATAACAGCAATATTCAGAAGGGGAACAGTGAAAAGTTAACAAAGAGCAGCAACAAGAAAGTAAATAGATTTGAGGCAAACACTAGACTTTGACAAGCCTGGCCCATTATTTCAACAAGGTAATTGACTTACTTAATAGTGATAGAAAACCTTGTGCTTAATTTCATGATTGCAGTAAGAGCATAACCTCTGGTTACTGAAACAGACAAGCTAGACTGCAGTAAGTGTTCTAACACATCCATAACTTCATCTTCGGTCACCTATTGAGAAAGGAGGAAATAACAATTGAACTAGCCATTTTGGACAGCTAATTAGTAAAAACACACCACCTTAATTTGCCTCTGAGATGGGTAGACTAGATGGACCAATCGCCTGATTCTCCCTAAAACTTGTTATTAAGATTCTAAGATAATTATATGTATGAACATTTGGAGCATTACCACTACATGTTAACCTTGAATTTGGTTGATTTTTTAAAATTAAAACTGGAGGTGGCTCTATAGCAACACAATGTTAAAGGACCATTCAAATGCTTGTATTCAAAAATTATTTTTTTTTACCTGAATCGGTTCCTCTTCTTCACATTGACCAGAAACTAAAAGGTCTCCATACTCCCCAATACACCAAGCGGACACCTGCACAAAAGGTTGCTGTAGATACAAAAGCAATCAGAATGAATTCCATGAATCTAGAAGCAAAAATAGGTGGAAATTTCAGTAAGCTGTTAAATAATCCTCTCCATTATTTTACAATTTGACTACCATACATTATGTAGAGAGGAACAAACAAACATGTCAAAATATATTTTGCTTGATATTGACAGAGTAGCCATTCACCACATAAGGTTCCCTCTCTTCTCCTTGGGGGTACTAGGAACTGTATTATTATGTGGATATGTAAATTAATTCCATCAACATGGGCTTTTGTTCCAATCATGATCAAAACAAATACAGAACCAAATCTTGCATACAGTATATAAAGCACAACTCCTGGCATTTTAAAACTAACTCAACTATTTATGATAATAATAATCCTTGCATTTGATATAGCACTTTTCACGTCGGGAGGACATCCCAAAGCGCTTCACAGAACACACTGTAAAGTGAATTGACTGTATATTTGTGGGCGAACGCGGCAGCCAATTGCGCACAGCAATGTCCCACAAACAGTCGTAGATTGAAAATGACCAATTTATTATTGTTTTTGGAGGGATTATTATTAGGTGTGTGGAGTAAGGAAACTTGCCCAAGGTTTCGCCCTCTGCCTGGAATTGAACTCAGGTCTCTCGCTTGCAAAGCGAGTGCTCTAACCACTGAGCTACAGGACTCCAGGACTTTATTTTGCTCAAGAAAATTAGCAATGTACAGTTGCAGGCAATGGATGCACCTTCCAAGTTCCTACTTTCTGTAACTTGGGACAAAATAAAACTAAAAGTTCAATTGATTTATGTTTTCTCAAAGAAACTTAGAAGGACTGGTACCAAGATTCTTAGTTTGTGTTAGTAGTTAGCTAACGTTCACTCCACTTTACAGCAAATCCCGTTAAATGCTTGGGAGACATCCTCTTGAAGTGAAAGGCACTATATCACATGTAAGGATTACTGTTATTATTAAAGTTGTGCTAGGGATACAATTAATCTTCAGCACTTCATATCAAGAAGAAAACAAGGTTGTTGCTCCTGACCTATAGCCATTGAGCTCTGCTGTAGGCATAATTGTGTTATTTCCAATACCTGAGAAATATCTTCCAGGATGGCTTTGAAAAGCTTCTGCACTGTGTAACCGTGCATTTCAACACTGTTTGTGATCAACTGGATCAGGTTGGGTACTGCATCATCTCGAACATAACTACCAGCCTAAAATTGAACAGAAAATGTTAAGTCCTTCATAGCCCTGAGAATCATTAAGAGCAAATATCATATAGTAAAACTTCAAGGATAATGAACAAAGCAAATTACATTATTAAAGAGAAAATTAAGAACAAAGGAAGCTTTAATAACTAATTAGAGCCCACTTACCGTTGTTAATACTCTCATTATGGTGTCTATATGCCATCTCTTGGACGGTGCATACCTGATGAGAAAAATTAAAATAGTTTGTAGGCAACTAAGTTTCAAGACACTTAAAGTTGATCATAGTTAATTTCTACCCAAATTATGGAAACATTAACGGGGTTGAACTTCAAACCAAATCATTCATCCGATTTGCTAGGAAAATAATACATGAAAGCAACACTGATAAGCAAAAATGAAGTAAAAGCAACTCGCAACACAACAGCAGCAAGAAAATCAGATGCAAGTAAGTAAGGCAAAAAGTGCTCTGACAAAAATTCAGGCTGAGAAGGTGGCAAGTTAGCATCAGAAGCGCAGCTATTCCAGTATAATGTAGATCCACTATACACTCACGGCACAACCAAATTAGCGCTCAACTGAGAAGGAAGCAGGATTGGCAGACTTGTTTATTTTTGCAGACCCATGCTCTTGGACTATATTCTGTAGACACTAGTTAAAAAAAGTCTTACTTTTCTGCTGCAAGGAAGATACCAGAGGCACAGTCTGATTTAAATTCAGGATCACACAAGTCAAGGAAGTAAAGCAATTCTTTCATCATTCCTCTTACGTTATTTCCATTCACCAGAGCAAAACTCAGTTCCATTGCACGTCTAAATCAGAAAAAGAATAATAGGTAAATTCTGCGGTATTGTATTGCTAAAGACAACAGAAGGTTGCATTTGCGTAATTGCGATTTGGAGGATCTCATTAAAAAAGATTTTTATTAGCTCAAAATCAACCCTTTGACTTGCTTCATATTCAATGAAAACCCAAAGACCACATCTTAGAAGTGACCAAGTACATATCCAAACCCACATTTATGAAAATGAAAGTGAACCCAGAAACAAATTTGGCCAACATTCAGTAGTGTATTTTTCCATAGTGGCCTAAGGGTTCAATATTTTATTCACATTAAAGTAATTTCAAGTTTATAATTACAAGCTATTGCATAAATTATTAGAAACCTCTAAGGATGTGTAGTTTAGGATAGCTGATCACCTGAAAGAAATTACAACTCAAAATATTTTCAAATATTCTGCAATCTCTTTAATTTTCTCAACATTTTGCTCACCTTTTAATAGATACATCCAAGTCCTTCAAACAATCCACTATTGTACTTCTGTGTCTTTGCACTGCATTATGATCCGTTTGGACAGTTTTGAGCAATGACGTCAATGCCACATACCTTAGAATTGTGAACAAAAGTGTAAAACTGTTTACATAAGTAGTAAGCTCACTCAAGTGAAATATTTCATACAAATTAAATCACATTTAACAACAGAAATGAAGAGATCCAGCAATAAAAGCACATTATTGAATTAAAATGTCCAATGGATTAAAGCGATGCATTACATATAACGCAATATACAGCTGAATCAGCTGGGCCTGGTCTGCTTAAGGCTAAATGCTTACCAACCAGCATTAATGATACATTTCATAAAAGATTAATAACAAATAGTACACAGCTTGTTGTGACAATGACATTGTTTTTAGAAGCATGTTTAAAATGCAAGAGTTCATGCTTAACTATGCAGTATGCACTGTACTTAATGAGGGATGATGTAACCATTAATGGAGACTCAGGTACGCTATTAGTGAAAAGGGAGTTTTGTGTTTAATCCATTTTAATTTGCTCATCTCCATGATAAGACTTCTCAAAACAAATGAGCATACCTAATATTTTTGTCGTTATTTAGCAGGAAGCGTCCCAAGATATTAATGGCTAAAACCTGCAATACACAAAAAGATTCACATTAAATTAGATAAGAAGCAAATGAAAATTATGAACAAGACAGCATGTCACAAAGTGTGTAAAAGTTGCTTAGTAACTACTCTTCAACTCTACCACCCAGTGGAAAGTCAACTCGCTTCCATTCGGCACCAAGCCCACAGCAACTAAGATCAGACTTTCAGCTCCATGTGGAACAGGGGCAACAGCAAGGCAACACAACACATAAAATATATGTAATATTCTATATAAGTTCAGGACCTGAACTTTAAAAAAAGGAACACATCCATAATAGCAGTTTTTTCATGCAATTATGATAAATTAATCAACTACTGCCACCAAAGTTTTGAAGGTATAGGTGATCCAAGTAACATTAAAAGCACTTTTTGAATTGCACATGTTAATGAATGATGAACTCTCACTTCATGCGTTCTTCCTAACTTCCAAAGTCCATTTTGTCAGCAATACAAGGCTTGATTTTGACTACACATATTGCATATAAAAAATTATGCGCAACACATACCCTTAAACCACTTTCTGATTTGATGTCCATAATAGTCAGAACAGTTTCATATAGAATTGCATTGCCCACATTTTTGCTAGTTTCTGTGTTTGTTGCAACCTAAAATATAAAAAAAAGTTAACATAAAAACAAGCTTCATTTGGGTTTATGTATTTTGTTCTTTATTTCCTCCTCACACTGATCAAGATGTACGATTTGAATTTGGGAAGTGGCATAAGAGATTCTGAAACCATGGACCAGAACTGCAATCCATTCAAGGTCCATACAATTGTACTGAGTTTGAAGTATTTAATAGGTGGCAAGAGTCATAAAGATCAAGTTATCCTGCAAGTTTCTGAAGCAATTACATACATATATCACAACTGAATGTTTTAGACTTGAGGAAATCCCTACATGCGATAGAGGTTTCCAGAGCTTGGTGGCTACTTTGATTGTTAGAGGTATGTGTCTGGGAAAATAGGCAGGAGGATAATGGCAACATTCTCACAAGTTTTCGTGGATGTGTGCTGCTCACCGGGGACTCAAGAAGTTTCTAGTTCCTGCTGCTAAGGGCTTAAACCTGCACTTGTCAAGTGACCAACTAGTGACGAACAAAAAGAGGAGAGAAGACAGCAAGAGAGGTCAGCAGGGGAATACGTGGAACTCTATGTGGTTTGAATACTCTTAATCATGACAATGGGGTCATGACAATGGGGCTTCACATCTATCAGGACACCTGGCTTGTCAACAATTTTTTTTGAATACGGTAGCCAAGAAAAAATTGGAATGCAGTTAACATTAAAACCAATTAAATATACAATAAAGCTGCAAATGCATTAACAGCAGATTGTAAACAGTGGAATAGGTTAAGAATGCTGTAAACGCGTATGACATCTCACCTGTGCAAGAATGTCATTCATAGCCTCACTCGAGTCATCGTCGTGTCTACCCAGGATTCGCAGTAGCCGCAGTATTCGAACCTGGAATAAAATTTTGGAAAAAAAATCTAATGCCATTCTTCCATGAATGCCATTTATTCAATAGTTTGTGTATTTTTAATACAAGACAATTCACATTTATCTAACACCTGTCACAACAGTGTTTAGTAATGCTGGATGGGTGGGGAGAGAGGAGAGGGAGAAGAGAATAGAAAGTGTGGTTAAATAGGTCCGTTTTGAGTGCCCTTGAAAGAGAGGGTAAATGATTTGAATACTGTGGAAACCAAGATTCAGTTCCAGCACCTAGGGAGGGAGTCCAGTGATTTGACTGGATTGGGTGCAGGCCCAAAATCTGCTGTCATACACTCCAACCAACTATTGTTTTGATGCTCTTGAAATTGCTTTAACATTAAGTCATTCAAGAACCTGGTTCTCACCTTTAAATCCCTCCACATCCTCATCCCATCCTACCTCTGTGATCTCCTAATATCGGTCTGATCTAACCAATCCCTTCACTTGACAAACAGTGGCCTGCTTTAACAACATTTTGGATTTACATAGCGCCCTCCACGCCGGACGGTGTCTCAGAGCATTTCACAGTAACGGATCCCGGGGCTGAGCCAGGGGGAGGGGGAGAAAGGTGACCAAAGGCGCGGTCGAAAAGAAAGCTTTTCAACATAGACCTGAAAATAGGAAGAGAGGGGGCAAGGCAGAGAGAGTGAGGAAGGGAGTTCCATAGCCTCGGGGCGTAGTGGTTGAAGGCACGGATGCCGAGGGTGGAGCGGAGGACTCGGGGGACAAGGAGGAGACCAGACCCGGAGGAACGAAGGCAACGGGCACTGTTTTGAGCGAGGTAGGGGAAGGATTTGAAGACAAGGGTGAGGATCTTGAAATCGATTCTCTCTGTCTCTGGGACAGGGAGCCAGTGCAGTCTGGCAAGGACTGGGGTAATGGGGGAGCAGAGTTTGGTGCGGGTGAGAATGCAGGTGGCAGAGTTTTGAATAATCTGGATTTTATGGATTGTAGTGGAGGGGAGGTCGACGAGGAGGGCGTTTGAATAGTCCAGCCAAGAGGTGACAAAGGCATGGACCAGAGTTTCAATGGCTTTCGGAGAAAGGTATTGGCAAAGACGGGCAATGCGTCAGAGGTGGAAGAAAGTGATGCTGGTGAGGGACCAGATGTGGGGGAGGAAGGATAATTGGGGGTCAAACCTGACGCCTAGGTTGCGCACGGGTTCGGAGAGTTTTAGGGGGAGGTCGGTTAGGTGGAGGAGGTGAGAACCGTGAGATTTTAGATGTTGACGAGAGCCAAAGAGTATGGCTTCCGTCTTGTCAACGTTCAGCTGAAGGAAATTTAAGCTCCTCCAGCCCATGAGGTCTGACAGGCAGGCTGGGTCGCAAAGAAAGGTGGAAAAATAGACTTGGGTGTCATCCGCGTACATGTGGAAATGTGCCCCATGTCTGCGGATGACATCCCCAAGAGGGAGCATGTAGATTAGAAAGGGGAGGGGGCCAAGGATGGATCCTTGAGGTACTCCACAGGTAACCGGATGAGAGCAGGAGAGAAGCCATTCGTGCAGATGTACCGCTGGTGGTTTGTGAGGTAGGACTCGAACCAGGTGAGTGCGGTCCCACTGAGGTGGATGACAGAGGAAAAACAGTGGAGAAGGATGGCGTGATCGACTGTATCGATCGCGGCAGAGAGGTCCAAGAGGAGAGGTGTGCGCAAAGTTGATTGGCAACAATGGTTCTAGGATTTTTGAGAGGAACTGCAGGCTAGAAATAAGATGGTAGTGGCTGCGGTTTGAGGAATCTAGGGAAGGTTTTTTAAGAAGGGGGCTGATGACAGCAGTTTTGAGGGGGCAGGGACTGATCCGGAGGAGAGGGACTGGTTGATGACGTCAGCCAGCAGTGGGCAGAGGAGGGGGAGCTGGGTGACCAGCAAGTTGGTGGGGAGAGGGTCAAGGCAGCAGGTGGTGGGTTTCATGGAAGTGATGGTGGGTGAGCGGGAGGAAGGAGAGATGGGGAGGAAGGAATGAAGGATGGGTGTGGTGGTAGGAGCAGATGATGGGGAGGGTGAGGCGGACAGAGAGGGCATGGTGGTGGGTGACAAGAGGCAGGTGGATGAGGCTGCCTGGCGGATGTTGTGTATTTTAGATGAAGACGTCCATGACCTCCTCGCACTTGGCATTTGATATGAAGATCGAGGAGGCCTGAGGGGGGGGGGGCACAGAGGAGGTAGTGGGTGATAGAAAAAAGCATTTTACGGTTGTGTTTAGCCTCCAAGATGATGTTGGGAGTAGAAGGCCGTTTTTGAGCGTGTCAAAGAACGGAAGTAGCTGTGGAGATGCTCGAGCCACAGTTGGCGGTGAACTGTCAGGCCAGTTTTCTGCCACCTGCGCTCAAGCAGCCTTTATATCTGTCTTCCTATCCGCCCCACCAATGGTAGACAAGCTTTCAGCCATTCTCCCCCAGCTCTCTCAACTCCATTCTGTCTTTCCCTCCCCACGTTCAATTCTTGTTTCGAGACTTACTATTTAACTATTCTTTCAGTCACCTTTCCATCTTGTATAGTAATTAAATGGTAGAGCTCCATTACAGAGACCTTACCTGAAGGAAAGGATCACTGATGCCGGAAACATCATGCTCTGGTGAATAACCAGACATGATAAGATTCTTTAGAATTCGAACAAGCTGAGGCACAAGCTGAAACAAACCATACAATTAAGAACTTAATATTAAGATGTTTATAGATATAAGCTTGTGAACAATGGGATGTGAATGATGGAATGGAAGCTCATCAAATAAACCACGATACCTGTTTTTTTAATTTTTAAAATAAAAAAAATTATTCTGAGTAAGTTAGCATAATACAAAGCGGCAAATTTGAATCTTTCAAAATGGAGAAAATGCATATTAAATTGTACTTAATATTCTATTTCCCATATTTCCAGCTGCAGATCATTCAATAAATCAAAATTGTGCACAAGATCGTAAAATTTTTGAGATTTTTCTTTTAGAAAGACTCTTAATTCTGTCATTTTGAGCATCTAAAAATTCTGATGTGATTTTCCTTAAAACCATCTAAACAAATCAGGAAAAATGGAAGATGAAAAGAAACTTCCAACCAGCATGCAATGTGCAATTGTTAAATGCAGAATTTTATCTTACCTTTTCATTCTAAAATCAAGCAGGGTTTGTATTGAGATAAATAAAAAAAATGAAGTATTTTGTTAGAATATCAGGAAGCCACATTTGGAGAAAGTGAATGCAGTCTGGCAATCAGTAGTCTAGACTTCATATTTGTGAAGAGTACACATACTTCTTAGAGGTAACAGCAAGTAAATAAATTTCATAATTCATCAGTTCAATTTAGCAGCTTCTTCTCCCCATTAAAAAATATCTTCACGCCTTTCAAATGAAAAATTTTATCCATACGTAATGCAGCCTCTGGTCCCAAATTGGCTATAGGGAATGAAGTCACTGAAGGAGGTGAAAATAGTTACTACTTACACAATTACGGTTACAAACACTTTAACAATAATCCCCATTGCAAACGATATTTGAGAGTTGACATAAAACACAGCTACTTACTTTCCTGAAGTGTGCTAACATGTCAGGACTTCGTTCACACATTTCTGTGAGAAGGACAACAGACGTGTGAAGAACACCTGGGAAGAAAAACACAGTATTAAACAACAGAATTTAAAAACCCTGCATCCTTGGTTAAAGTTAGCATCCATTTAGAATACAAAGAACATTAATACATCTCCATTACTTTTAAAAGTTACAGCTCAATGTAGGTCAAAATTTGCACAGCAGTTTCTGGATTATATACAAAAGAGCCCAGTGTACAACACTCAACCCCAAAACCTTCAGGAAGCAAAAGATTGAAGCTAGACAGGGTGCAACACTTATTTGTGTTTCCTTGCAAACCCAAATGGTACAATTAAAATGAAGTGAAAAAAAACATGCAATGAAATTACCGTGGTTTTTTTCATTCAGCAGGTTTTTAGTAGCCGGCAAGAACATTTCCATGAGGTCAGGCACTTTCCTGATTACATGGACTGCACATAATGCTGCCTGATAAAAATAATTAGATTTTAACACAGACAAGCAATATGATTAATAACCACAAAGTGAAAACATTGCAGATATTTTATACAGAAAATGGATCACCATTAAACTAGTCCTGAAAAAGTCCAAGAATGCAAACTTGCTGAAATTTAATACATTTGGATACACAACTATATTGACTGCACCTAAATAGAAGATATATTGGAGAAAGACTTGCCCAATAACTTTTGTTTTGATTACAGCGAACATTTAAAAAAAATCTGAGCACTTCATATTTATTTGCAAATTTATGAAATGTCCATCAATTCTAAACATGCTATAAAAATGTGTACCCCATTTACGATCAAATCCATTTGTACCCCTGGGTTAGGGTTATGCAGAATTTCAGATCCCATACTCTTTACACCTCAAGCTACCACTAACGTTATTCATGCTGAAGGGGCTGCAGTCCTTACAGCTTGTTCAGATCAGACGGTCAGTTCAAAACAATGGCACAAACTTTAGTTATAACATAAACTATATTGTATAGCATTTAATTAAACTCCCCAGTAAATCAGTTCTGAGTATAAATTTGAAAAAAGTCTATGTATATGTTAAAAAAGTACCTTCTTTCTTAGATAAGAATTGGATGTTTTTAGGAGTTTTTCCACTTCACCCGCAAGATCTCTGCACATCTCTGCTGATCCCATGCAGCCAAGTGTGCAGAGTGCCAACCCCTGCACATACTGAGTACTGTGGTTCAAGTCACTGCAGGAAAACATTTTAAAAATCCCATTACAGAACAAATGCAGGTTTACTAATTATGGTAAATATTATTGCTGTTCCTCTTCAAATAAAGGTTCCAGTGTATATCTGACATCAACTTTAAATTGTACACAATTTTTTTGCTGAAACATTTCTGATATCATGAAAATTACACAAATATTTTTTAAAAAGGCACCCTTCCTCTTTATTTACTCCCAACCATCCCCAATAAGACTAACTTCTGCTCTCGACTTGAATAATCAGGCCAAGTTATACAAGATATCCTAAACAATCTATAATCCTACTGTTATTTCAACAAGGCAATCCACAGAAGTTTGACAAGACACACTTATCACCCCTTCTGCCAGAAATAGATTGGCTCGTGGGAAAATGATAAGTCACAACTGTGAAACACTACCAGGAAACTAAAATACTACAGTCCACTCACCAAGCAAGAGAATAGTGGCACAAACAAATTATCATTCCACGTTACACCAATGTGGTGCACCACTAAGTGGAAGTTAATAACAAGTGCCACTAACTGTTCTCAAAACACTGAAGAAGCAAACACTGCCCCAGTTTACGTTATATGGAAACACTAAAAAAATGGCCAGTGAATGAGGTCACTGTTGATGTCCCTTCAAGTAATTGCCAGACACCTCTAGATTCCGGGAGATCTTCAGTGCCTGTACATCAGAAAGAAGTAGGCCAGTCAGCTCTGGAAGCTTACTATATTTCCAAAATATACCATTGGTCCACAGTGCAATTGCAGTATAAGCAGAATCACACTATACCAGATACATTACAACCACGGTTGACTGGTATTTGGTGCAATAAGATTTCTCTGTCTATAACTGGTCATGAGTTTCTTGGAAGTTAAAGGCACAAACAAGTATACATTTTCCCCTGGAGTGGCAGCTTCATTGGGATATAAGAAAGTAGCAAGGCTATCACAGTGAGCAGCAAACTGAAGAACCACGAGAAATTAAGAAAAACAAACTGCATTGAGTAAGAGGCAACTTCTAACTGACTACCCTGTATCTTCTTTGCTGCTTAACATTTCATCACATAATGATATTGCTGTACTTACTTCTTAATACAATTAGTCATGAGCAAGTGGACATCTTGCCGTTCATCAAGCAATAGCATAGCTCCTAGGTAACCAATCCGTTTGTCCGTGAACTTCTGAGAAGCAATTAGCTTCAGGCACTCCAGCTACAGTAAATAAGTAAAAAATAATGAAACACTTTACAAATAGAAAACATTGCTGGAATCAAACAGAGTATTACAACCTTGCAAATGTTTGTCCTTACAATGTCCCTGATGTACAAAATGGCCACCTCTATATTAACCTTTGGGATTGGATTGTGTGCTGATAATGAAATCTATGGGAAGGTGGGTCATTGTTACCTAAGAAGCTGTTTTTTGACAATGAAAGCAAATCTGTGACCAATCAAAATTACGCAAGTTTTAACAAGTACAATCTTGTTACCTGGCCAAAGTGTGCAGGATATCCCAGCATATGCATGTACAGCAGTTTAGCAACATTTCTACAGCGGTATGAATTATCCTCTTCTCTAAATGACGACCTAATTGAAGCACATTCCTTCTGGATCATCTCTCGTTCCTCTGCTTGGGTCCGGGCTGTCCGGATAGTCCGGATCAGCTCCCTCAGTCTGATAGGGGCTGGCATCCTCTGGATTTAAAAACAAAATTATTTCAAATAGATTCAACAAAATATTACATTTTACATCTTTTCTGTGAAGAACAAAAAAGTCAGTTGAAGATAAAACAGGAAATGAGGTTTGGTTATTCATTAATTCTGCTCCAAATAGAGAAGCGTTATGAAAAACAAAGAAAGGCTTTTTAACAGCATTTGCATAGCTTTTGCCCCTTTGCGCTTCAGTCTTCAAACAAATTTTGTGCCCATGTGTCAAATGCAACTCATTTTTGTATAAAATTAATATGTAATTATTACTAAGTTATATACACAAATTAGCTTGGGAATACAAAATGATTACTTTGGCTACCACTACACAATTGAGTCCTACGATGCTCAGGTGAAGCATCAATTTCAATTACTCTGACCACACGGTACTTTTTCTTCTCAATACGACAAAAACAACTTGCGATTATATAGCACCCCTTACGGTGGTTAACAACTCATAGCACTTGAAATATATATATATTATATAAAGTACAATGCAGGTTCATACTTCCTGACACACCTTCTTGCCTGCTTGCACTTTACAATATCTTTAAATATGCCAAACAACTATGGATGAATAATAGTTTGACAAAAAATGAATTCTAGTTTTATTACCCTCTATAAAAGGCTGAAATTTTGAAACCAACTGAATGTAGAGAAGTTTTCAGAGTGAAATGTACCCATATTGGATGGCCTCATAACATTTGCACACATTTGTATGAGAACAATCAGCTTGCTTAAACTATTTCTCAAAACACTAATATAACAATTTTGTTCAAATCTATTCACCCACCAAATCTGTGGTAAAAGCACGTAAACTAGCACATTCGCCAATACCTATTTAAGAAAGCTTGGGTTTGAAATAATTTCTGAAGATTGAGCAACTATAAGCAGTTATCAATGCACCCATCAGCCAAGTCCAAAGCATCCACATTTATTGAACCAAATCGCCCTACAATGCAAAAGCAACCATATTTTTTCAAAAAGTACTGCTAAAAATATTACACTACACAGGCAGGAGTAAAGAACAGGGCCATCGGCACGAGACAAATACGTGCTTCAAGGGATGTTAATTCCAAGCTACTTCAGATGGACCTTGGTCTTCTTTCGCCTACCAAATTCCCATGTTCTTAAGCCTGCAAAATGAACAGCTTCACAATATCTAAGAAGGCAGAAGAACCACCAATCTGTGCATCTTAGTTAGAAATATATGGTGTTTCAGCATGCAGGTTTATTGATTTCAATGTCATTGTCTTTCTACTGTTCATGAGAAAGAGAGGAACAGTTGTCTTAAGCTCTATAAACTTAACTCTTCATCCCTTCCCAGCCTCTGACCCGCGATATTACTACTTGGCAAGATTTTTTTTCGATGAAGATCTAATCATGTTACTCCCTGAAAAAAATACAGACCACATTGTTTAATTTAAAAAAACATTCATACTTGTGTTTTGACATTTGTGTGTCAACCTGTCTTGGTTGGTAGCATTCTCGCCTCTGACTCAGAAGGTTTCTGCGCAAACTCCATCCCAGGATTTTGAACTCATAATATAAGACAATCATCAATGTAGTGCTGAGGATGTGCTGCATTGTTGGAGGTGTTGCATTTAAGATTAGACGTTAAACCAGTTCAGGTGGACGTTAAAGATCTCATTGTACTATTCAAAAAGAGAGATGGGAGTTTCCAATGTCATCCAGGCTAAAAATCCCTGAAAAAAAACTGGTCATTCACTCTTCAGGGCTGTATGTGGGTCAATGGTGTATGAAAATTGGCTGCCGCATTGGTCTACAAAATATACAGTCACTGTGTTTTACAATATACACTGGGAAGTGCTTTAAGACATCCTCCCAGTATGAAAGGAGCTACATCAAATTTAAGGATTATTATTTGACGACGAGATTAATTTCACACAAAATTTCAAAAAAGAGAAAACCTCAGTAAACGTCACTGAATCTACTAGTTCTATCCTTTGTGCATGATGACATACAAGTCCTTTTACATTTTTATTTATTGTCCATCGTCCAAATGGGCTGGATAATGTTGTCTAAACATGCCCAGCAACTTGTGTCCAATAATTGCCTAGAAATCTAGTTGTGAACAGAATGCAATGTAGTGCTGAAGCTCCCGAGTGTGTATTGGGTAATGCTGGATACAACTAAAACCATCATTTCCCATTGAGACTGCTGCCTGGCAAACTTCCAGCTGGTTGTCCAGCTAACAGCACTCTACTAGAAAAAATGTATTGCAAAAAATGTACAGCACGGAAAGCAGCCGCTTTGCCCAACCAGTCTGTCCCATTGTTTATACTCCACACAAGTCTTTACCCATTCCTGTACTCCTTCCCATAAACTTCTGTTCCCCTCTCCCTCACACGAAGGTCCAGCTTCCTCTTGAATGCATCTACACTGCTTCAACGCCACCTCAGACAGCGGATCTCACAACCTCTCTGCACTCTGCTTGAGGTAGTTCTTCCTAAATACTCTTTTAGATCCCCTTGTTGCTATCTTATATTTGTGTATTCTGGTTTACGAACTCCCTAACCAGTGGGCACACTATTTATGTTAAGCTTATCAACCCTTTAATAATGCTAAACACTTCGATTAGGTCCCCCCTTAAATGTCACTTCTCTAGCGAAAAAAACCTAACCTATGCAGTCTATCCTAATAGCAATAACCCACCAGCAATTGGCTACCGAGTTTTGCTCACAAAATATACAGTCAATTCACTTTACAGTATATTCTGTGAAGCACTTTGAGACATCTCGAAGATGTGATAAAGCACTATATCAAATGCAAGGATTATTATTATTATTATTACCTAAGTGTTGGCTTGCAAGATTAACAGGAGCCAAGTGGGAAGAATTCCTGCCTCTCCAAGGCCTGCCACCAAGGCATGCGAACTGATCTGTCACCAGGAGAACCACAGGCTACTGTGAACCTAGGATCTCCAAGCCCATCTAGAACTACCCAAAGAAGAGCCACTGAAATTCTGCAGCTGATTTCACTGTTACTGGGATCACCCTTGCTGTCAATGGACACACTTGCACTTCACAGTTTCCTTCATTGATGAATAGCTGAAGGTTTGCATAAAACTCAACTGCAGAAACAATAGTGTTCAACTGCATCATCATACGTCCCTAGTTGTGAGGCCAAGACTATGATTTGTATTCAGTAATAATACTGCGTCAAATGATACAATCAACACAGATTCTGTGTTGGTAATAACAATCTGGATGTTTGCCTTTACCTTTTCAAGAAAATCTTCATTTCAAACTCAAAATAATCATGGTTAGCTTTTTAAGAATCGTATTTACTTTGTGGGTCAGTCAAATTACAACAATAATTATAATCCTCGCATTTGATATAGCGCTTTTCACGTCTTCTAGACGTCTCAAAGCGCTTCACAGAAATATGCTGCAAAGTGAATTGACTGTGTATTTGTGGGCGAAAATTGTGCAAGGATCACTCACCACTATACCCGATTACACAAACACAGTTGAGCAGAACCGGACTAAAAAGGCACCGTCTAACAATTTCACACAAGCGCCAATTGAGAGATTAATGAATAGTGGATTAAGACGCGCGGGTGGCCAGTTATTCGCAAATATTCAAAACGATAGCGAAACGAGAAAGCACAGAAAAGTGGAAGGCGAGAACGAAACGGCCCGGGCGGGAGAAGACCCGAAGGTTAATATTTTCTCGCACCGCTGAGGAAAGTTAGTGCGTGCTTCACATGACTTGAGACCTCAACAAGTCCTCCAGAACTAACGCCCAATACCATTCGATGCAACAACCCCCAAAAAAAAACAACCACTTTTTAACCTTTATATGTCAGCGACCAGAGAGCCCCCCCCACCCCCTCCCCCCACCACCCCAACCCCAGGTAACTCGACACAAAACCATCCTCTCGTTTGAATGGAACAAACAGCAGCATTGCTCCCCTCTCCCTCCCCCCACAGTTGCCTGGACTGAACCCCATTAGGGGCTTCGGGCCCGAGAGTGAAACGGGTCATCGTTAACTGGGGGGGGGGGGGCGGACACCCGAGCGAGAGGAGGAGGTCCGAATTCGGGCCGCAAACAGCGGCGGAAAACACACACACACACACGACGGACAGGCCTCGGGGGGGGGGGGGGGGGGCCTTGTTCTCCGGGGCCTCAGCCTCTCAGGTGAGAAAACAACTTCCAGAGCGAGAGCCTCACTTGCGCGGAGAGGGAGAGAGAGAGAGGGGAAAAAAAACCTTAAACACTCACACCACACACACACACACACGAGTATATATTACATACAACCGCTCTCGCCCACCCAGAGCGTTTTGGACTGCGGCCTTGTTGGGAGGGAAGAAACAAACGCGCTCCCCGACGGGTTGGGGTGGGGTTTGGGGCGGGGGCGGCCGGCGTGGGGGGTGGTTTCGGCCGCTCGGAAGAGGGGGCAGAGGCCTTGGGCGGTCACTCACCGGCCGAAACGCTGCTTCGTGTCGCGGGCGCTGCTCGAACCGAGAACCCGGCGCTTCTCGCGTTCAAAATGGCGGCGCCTCCAACCTCATCACCCGCCGCCCGCGGAGCGTTACACGTTGTGGACGGACTCCACCGGAAACCCCGCCCCCCCCCAACGGCCTCGCGCCCGACAGCGCCCGCAGCCCGGACCGGGGTTCCCAATGTAAACACGTCACAAAACCCCCAGCCCACCCTGGTTTAAAAACGCGGACCCGATATATATATACATATATATTAAAAAAATAAAAGAAAGGGGCAGTTCACAAGCAAATGAATTCGTCTGTAAGGGTCGGCCTTCTTTTTTGGGGGGCGGAGGGGTCTTAAAAATGAAGAGGGGAGAAGCCCAACGCGCGGATGGTCACACGCGGAGGGTGAGCGCTGAGGATTCAGTCGTGGCAGTCGTTGATGACGTCACCGCCCCGCCGAGTCACGTGGCCCCGGGGGGGGGGGGAGGGGGCGACTGGTGAAGGTCGAAAAAAAAGAGAGGAGAGAAGAGGAGAGAGATAGAGAAGAGAGATAGAGAGCTTCTCAAGTCACAAACCCCTCATTTGCCGACCTGGGAGTCGATCCCATCGAGTCGTTTGTCTGTTTCCCCACCGGTCCTCTTTTTTTTGTGTAAAAAAAAATAAAAAATAAAATAATGTGAAAAATATATTTTTAAAAAAATTTCTTTTTTTTTAAAAAAAAATAGGACAAAACGGTGAAGTTATTTTCCGTCCGTGTGGCGCGAGGGAGAGGGAGAGGGGCCCCGAGCCCGGCTCCCGGCTCGGTCGGGCTCTCGAGTCGCCGCCGCCCTCCTGTCCGGACGGCGAGTTCCAAGCCCCCACCTCAGCGGGTTCTTCGGCGTCGCTGAGTCTTCAGGAGAGCGTTGCGTTACCCGAAGAGCCTTCGTTCGGTCACAACCCAAGCAAAGGCGATCCTCGCGGTGTCCTGCCAGACCGCGCCCCGGGTAGAATTGGTCCTTCGCTTCGTGACTCGTTTGCGGGACATCGCGGTGCGCAAGTTAGCTGCGGCACTCGTCAACAACAGAATTAAGTCACTGACCTTTACAGTAAATGAAGAGCTTCCTCCCGCCATGAAAGACGTCATACAAATGTAATCTTCTTGTTGTTTTGTCAGGGACAGGGGAATAGAGGATATGGGACAGAAGTTCAGGAGGACTGGAGGCTCATTTATAAACACTGCACAGAATAGTTTGGTCAAGTGATCCAGTTTTGAGCTGTGATGTTTATTGTAATTCTGTGGTCAATGGATTGTCTTTTATCAATGTTAACAAATTAAACTATTTGTTTTTTTTTGAAGTCCAATATGTGTTTATAAACTTAGATATTTACCAAATTCACAATGATTAGAATTTTAAGATGAACAAATGGAACTTATTCTGACCCCAGTACAAGATGTTCTAATCGGAAGAGTGTGTGAGGATGACGCTTGATGTGAGCTGGTAATTACCATTGGTGATTTCTCACACGCTAAGTTATTTCGGTATTGTAGCTCCAAAGGAAAATGTAGAGATAAAATCATTTTAAAATCATTTCTCACGAAAATCCAACTTGTTCAATTTCAGCCAGAAGGTTTGCTGTGGGGGTACAAAATTGTTTCTTCTTGGAAACTTCACCCTCAATGGTTTTACGCCCAATTTCACCAATTGTAGATTACGACAGCAGTTTTGTAATCAGCTGTAATATAATCTGAAGACATAGCAGCAACCTGGATTCACGTTGTCGGACGGCTTGTGTTGAGAACAACGTATGGTTCAGGGAGACGCAAGAAAGCAAACGGAAGGAATAAAGAAAACACCATGTTTCCCCAGTGGTTCACATTCACACCACTTTTGGAAATATTTTAATGCACAATGCAAAATAGAGACCTATGGTATTCAATCTTTAATATATTGTTGCACTAAAAAGCAGTTTGGTGATAATAGGTGATAATCTGTAAATATCTGACACAATTAGTGATCTGAACCAATTTAG